AGCACTGAAACACATTCCTGAGCCACATCTTAAACAAATAAACCCACCAGATTTTCATACATTTGTCCACCTACTACCTCTGTCTGTCCGTCTCTTTATAAACTTCTCAAAATAGTCAACGGCACATACAATCTATATTTCCTTTCCTTCCATAATTTCTCAACATATTTGGAATCTGGCTTAAATCTCTGTCACATACACCAAAACTGCTGTTGCCAATGGTATTAAATGTTCCCAGTTGCTAAGTCAAAAGGATACTTCCTCCTTCATGGACATTTTCTTGCCCAGCTTCCATGACACCCCAGTCTCCTGGTTTTCCCCGAACTCTCTGGAGGATTGTTTCTTTTTTTTTTCTCTTTCTTTCTTGATGATCTTATCCACCCCCATGTCTTACATTGCCACCCATTGGCTAATAATTCCCAATCAAGGTTTGCTCTCTTTTCTCATGTACTCTGGACCAGTATCTCAAATTGCCTTCCAGACATCAATACCAGAGTTCCCAGTTGCAAAAGGTGCAAATTAAAATTAAGATTTTTTTTTCTCAAAACTTGTCCCCCCATTTGTGTCATGTGAGTTAATGGCGCCATCCATCCCATTGTTTGAATAAGAAATCTATAATCCTGTCTCTGCATCATCTGTTCATTTAATCAATCACAGATTTCTGTCCTATCTTCTATCTGTTGTCCACTGTTGTCCATCCCAATGTCACTTACTCAGGCCTCTGTCATGTTTTTTTATCTACTATCAGTTGTGCTCCTTAGTTGTGACAGAAATATTCTTTGGTCAACTTGAGTGCAAAGCAAATTATTGAAAGGAGTTGTGCCCATTCACAGAATGAGACCCAGAGTGTATGCTGGAGGCAAGACCAAAAGGCCAGGAAAAGGCTCGTGTGTGGCTACCACACTGTGGCAGCTCAACAGTCCACACCACAGCTTCCAGCTCTCACCTCTGCACAGTCACTACTTCTGCCTCTCATACCCCATGTTGCTGCATCTGCTGCTACAACCAGAAACCAGAATCCTTCCTCCATGGAACCTGCCTCAAAGTCCAAGATGGATGCATATAACTGCCATGTGCCAAGACTTGTGCCCAGGCTCCAAGGGGCTGGGAAAGCAAATATTTGGAGATTCCATATTCCATTATGATGAGTGAGCTTAGTTTCTCACTGAGGCTTATAACATGAGGAATTATCCAAAACTAATAAGGAGGCTCAGATGATGGACAACCAAAGATAAAGCAATGATAAATATACACAACCCCAAGAATAGGACACAAGCCTTCCCACTGACTTTCTTCTTCCCCTCAGTCCCTGAGCTAAGCTACGATCAGTTATCTTTCTAAAATGCAACTCTTGGGGTGCCTGGGTGGCTCAGTTGGTTAAGCATCTGCCTTCGGCTCAGGTCGTCATCTCAGGGTCCTGGGATCGAGCCCCGTGTCGGGGTCCCTGCTCAGTGAATAGTCTGTTTGTCCCTCTCCCTCTGCCCCTCCCCCTGCTTGTGCGGGCTCTTTCTCTCACTCTCTCTCTCAAATAAATAAATAAAATCTTTTAAAAAAAGGTAAAAATAAAATGCAACTCTATTGATGTTTCTCACATACTTAACAGTCTTCTTTGTCCTCTAGCTCACCTAAGATAAAATTCAAGTTCTTCACACAGATTTCTGTTTCAGTGAACCTCTCTGAGTTACCTGAGTCTGCCATACTTTCCCTGGGATCCAAGACTTTGTCTATGCTTCTGCCAGTGTCCTCTTGACCTGCCTAACTCTTCCTCCTCCTTCACATACCATCCTATAGGCTTCATCTTCCATAAAGCTTTTCTTGATCCTAATCCTGTTATCCCTTCTAGGTGCTAACATAGCTCTTTGTTCTCTCATCATGGCACTCGACACACTAAATTATATATGCTTATTACTTATTTATATCCCTGATAGACTAAGTTCCATGAGGACAGAAACCTGTCTTTTTCAAAACTATATTTCCCAGGCGCCTGGGTGGCTCAGTCAGTTAAGCGTCTGCCTTCGGCTCAGGTCATGATCCCAGGGTTCTGGAATTGAGCCCCACATTGGGCTCCCTGCTCAGTCTGCTTCTCCCTCTGCTCCTCCCCTCCTCCCCCCCACTTTTGTGCTCTCTCTCACTTGCTCCCTCTCTCTCTCACAAAAATAAATAAATAAAATCTTTTTTTAAATTATATTTTCCAATCTCTCTCTCTCACATTGAGTTCAGTACAAAAAATTAATTTCTCTAAGGCCAAAAATAAACAGACCAATAGCTTCTCTTCCAAAAAATACATTTTGCAAGAAATGGAAATACGGTCTGTTTTGCCTTCAGTATATAAACATACTTTTGGCCTAAGCATCTTTCTCTTCCAATTTTCATGTCTTCTGGGTTAATGTTGCCTGGTGACTTATATCCTCACACATTTTAAGAGTTGACCTTGACCTTGACTTCTCCTAAACCACTACCATATTTGCTGACTGAAGGGCCAAATGTAGTTAAGGGCTCTCTTCTGGGAGAAACCCATCTGCCTTCTCAGGACAAAGTATGAAAGGCTTTGAAATAAGCAATAGGAAACTGGTGTCTTTTCAGTGGAATACTGGGTGGGGTCTGGTATACCTTCCAGGGTCATCTGATTCTATTGTGGTGTATGCCTTTTCTGCCTTTAAGTAGGCAATTCTATAACTTTGTAAACTGTAGAAATCTAATAGCAATGCAAATTATACTTGAACATGAATATACAAATAAATTTTTTCCAGTAGAAATACTATTAGTTTGTACTCCATAGAAATGACTCCAAACATTACATTTTACTGCTCTCTCTATATTAACCAGTTTCAAATTTATTAGTAAATTCATTTCAGCATTCTTGATTGTCTGCATATATACTTATATATGTACACATATATTATACTTATGTACATATATATTCATATACTTTAGAGTCTGCTTTGAAGTAGTTGTATATCTTACCAGTTTCCTCATTAATTAGTTAAATAAAACCTTGCATAAATGTTTATTATGATACTTGTTATATTTGCCATGATTTTGCTGGGTTTTTTTTCCTTTTTGTGGCCAGAAACAAGCTCCAAGCTTTTGACTACCGGTCCCCAGATTTGGCTTCCCACTGAGAACCACAACTACTAGAACACTAGTATGTGGTCTCTCCTTCCACCTTCATAAACTTCCAAGCTCCCACCCACATTTCTGGATTTTGAGCCTCTGAGGCTTGACCTTGAGGGAAAGTGGCACACAAACTGAAACAGAATTTTCTACTTCCTGATACTTAAGTTTTGGGAGAAGGCTATGTCGGAAGGTAAAAGCTAATGGGTACTTAGATGAAGGGTATGCGAAAAAACTGAAAATCAGGCTATATATTTTCATATTTAATTTTGCATTTTCTGTATTATATATTCTATACATAATAGTTTCTATGTTTGATTGTGCCTTTTCAAAATCATGTGCTAACTGCCTGTTTCTCATGAACAAAACATACTAAAATATACAAAATACACTGAATACAACTTTTCTCCATATATGGGCTAATTTAAAGAATCGGTGAGGAATCAGAATGATTCCATTCTGGAGTACAGACAGGACAAAGGAATTAGAATGCTATAAAGAGGGAGACGGTGACAATACCACTCCAGTGGATTTGTAAGATTTACTAGGAGAATACAGGGTAATATGGCTTAGTAGGTAGGAAAAGACTAGAATGTGGAGAATCTCATAATTCAGGTATAACAGAGTAATCTTTCTAAGAGGACATCTAAGACTCAAGTACAACTTTCAACTAAAGAAGACGCAGTAGGTTAATATTGAGCTTTCGGATCTGATTACATATCTTCTGTTGAATTGACAGGTTCTATGAATCACTGCATCCTATGTGGTAGTAAGTCCTCGAGGTAGATTTCTGGAACCCCTCTACATAATACTCTTTGAGATTGGAGACTTGCAGGAGTCAAAAATGCAAGCTGGCTCTTTTTTGGTCATAGAGAAAATGACATTTCACTTAATAGAACAAAATCTCATCACTCTAAGCAGAATCCCTAGATGGGAAACTGATTCTGGACAAGCAGCCCAATTCTATCCTCATGAGGAACACTGACCTTATGGAGAATGAATTTCTCACTAAGTTTACTCCTGACCCAGCCTATAAAGTTGAGTTCCACCACATCCAACAAGGTTCCTTTATTGACTTTTAGACTCAATCTTGAGGCAAGTTTCCCTTCTGAAGTTTTCTAGATCTTCCCTCTATCATTCTATGAACAATATATAGAAAAAGAATAGCATACTTAGAGTAACAGAAGAGTCATTGCCTCATAATATTTACAGTGGAAATTTCAGCTCCTGCCCAATTGTTTTGCAGGTCATGAAACTGGTGGTGGTATTTCTATATAATGAACATGGAAATACTGATGGTATTTCCATATAAATGTCCTGTGCAAGGCACAGAGTTCTCTCACATGTCCTTAAAAGATTTGTTAGGTTCTCACAGCAACAAGGCTCTTTTCATTTTCCTTTGACACTCTATCCAAATTTTATAGTAATTGTTTAATGTCTTTTCCACCTCCCCCCTTTATAACCCCACATGACTTTTAATTCCTTAAACATAGGAACTATGTCCTCAGTCTAGATCAAGAGTCAGCAAACTTTAGCCCCTGGGCCAAATCCATCCCACCACCTGTTTCTGTATGGCCTGCAAACTAACTCTTAGTGCCTACTACAGATATTTTCTGTTTGAATTATTCAGTGCTTGTTAGTAAGATACTTAATATTCACTCACAGGGAAAATAGTAAATTAAAATATTAATAATAAACACAAGTATACTTGATGTTTCTTCCAACTTGAAGAATAGAGAAAAACAATTTTTACAAAAGTTCATTTGTTCACTTTAATGTTTCTCCCAACTTGTAAATTAGTAATTTTATGATAACCGCACACAAACACACTCACACTACTAATGGCAATTCTCTCTATGTTGTCTTTCAGAACACAAGAGGTAAACTGGTTTCCAGTGCCTCTGGCCTTCCTGTTGAGAGCAAACAAAAAGTGTATGAAGACTACTGAAATATGTCAGAGACTTCCTCCCATGACTCGTTCTATGATTCCCTATCAGACATGCACGAAGAAAGCAAGAATGCTGACTTCTTCCCTGAGCTATCTGCTTTTCTCAGCCAGGAAGAGATAAACAAGAGTCTTGACCTGGCCCGGAGAGCTATAGCCAACTCTGAAACAGAAGATTTTGACTCAGAAAAGGAGATCTCACAGATTTTCAACGCTTCTCCTGTAGGTGTCTGTGAAAATCCTTCCCATAAGGAGACCAAATTTGGTGAGCCAGCCTCCTCAGGAGGACCTCATGATAACAAGCCAACACCTGTCCAATCTCCGCCAGAACAAACTGACCGTATCTCTTCACCTGCTTCAAAGAGGAAACCTGCCAAATCACCCCTGCTTGCCAGCCCCAGCTATATCCGGAGCCTCCGAAAGGCTGAAAAACGGGGTGCAAAAACTCCCAACACAAGTGTAAAGCCCAAACCAGCATATCAAGGTAAGACTGGCCCCCAGAGCCAGCTATGTGACAAGGCGGCTAATTTCATCGAGGAGCTGACATCCATATTTAGAGAAGCAGCAAAGCCAAGAAATAGAAGCCCAAACGGGGAGTCCTCATCCCCAGACAGTGGGTACTTGTCTCCTAAAAATCCACGGTCAGCCCTGATGAGTGCCTCAGCCAGCCAAAGCCCCACTGGAGACCAACAGGAGATGGAAGCTGAGGTCAAGTTACCCGAAGCCAGGCATTGCTACCAGGCAGACCAGGACAAGGCAGTGCCATGCAATAACATCTCTCACCCACAGACCCAGAATGCACTCCACTTCCCCTCAGCTCCACGATTCATCCAGAAGCTTCGGAGCCAAGAAGTGGCAGAAGGAAGTAGAGTTTACTTGGAGTGTAGAGTCACTGGAAACCCAATTCCTCGAGTCAGGTAAGAACTTTTTATTATGAATAACAAATGATTTGTGTTGACTTTTGGTTTTACTTTAATGTGGGATGAGAAGAGATTTCCTGTAGAGTTAGCCCTCTGGAGCCTGAAGTGGTGTTTTCAAATACCTGCAAGGCAAAAGCGTCCCAGAATTGCAAATACTAGTTGTTCTAGTTAACCCTGGTGGGATGTGTCTGTTACCATGAACATGTGCTACTAAGGGGAAGGCAAAGGAACGGACAGGCATAGAGGGGTACAAATAGGTACCTATTTAATAATAGGACTCTGGGATTAACAGCATCCAAGGAAACTTAAAATGGGCAACTGATTCATTCAAAGTACTGTGAAAGTGTGTGCATCATTTGAATAAGAGGTGCTGAAGACGGTCGAAAGTGTGGCTAAACCTGGAAGTCGTCTGGCAGTACAGAGATGAAAGGCACGGGTGTGCAGAGGCCAACCACAAGATTAACCCCCAAATATATACTCTGATCTAAGGCCTGGGCTAAGTGGCCACATAGTCACTTAAAGCACACCCACACACCTTGAATGTGATGCAACCAAGGAAACACAGAAAGATAAACCAAACTGAAAGAAATACAGGCCTGGGGCGCCTGGGTGGCTCAGTTGGTTAAGCGACTGCCTTCGACTCAGGTCATGATCCTGGAGTCCCTGGATCGAGTCCCATATCGGGCTCCCTGCTCGGCGGGGGGTCTGCTTCTCCCTCTGCCCTCTTCCCTCTCGTGCTCTCTGTCTCTCATTCTCTCTCTCTCAAATAAATAAATAAAATCTTTAAAAAAAAAAAAAGAAAAGAAATACAGGTCTGTTGCCTATACACAGGCTCTGGCCACTACAGCAT